TTTCTTCTCTCTGGATTCCTAAGAAGCTCTGCACAAGCTTCCTCAGGTTTCAGGATTGGCCTGACTCATCAGCAGGAACCTTGTTCCTAGAAGTTGGACATTCCTGACAGCTAGGCCAACAGCTGGCTGTGAGGCTAGCTGGCCACATCTGGGCATATTTTATAAACTCACCACTGGTCTCAGTCAGGAATGGCAGTGGGGATAATTACAGGGAAAAGGTCCCTGGAAAAAGGAGACTGGTGGGTTCAGGCATGATAGTGGTGGCAGAGCCATCAGGGGACTGTGTAAGCTCAGCTTGCAGGGTGGGTGGGGCCTTGAGACAAAGAAGAGAGAAAAATCTGAATTCTTTTGACAGTTTAGTGAGCCTGCCAGCTCAGGAAAAACCAGTCTCAGTCTTGCTGCTAGAGGTTGGACCTTTGGGTAGGTAGTGATTTCTCCTAGGGTGGCTTCTGGTTTCCCTCCTAGGTCTCAGAGGGGAAATGATCTTTGTACACCCCTCCAAGCAAGGGGTGTCTAGGAAGCTGCAAAGGGGAGAGTGGTGCTGGGGAAATCTGGGGATGAGTAGAAAGTGCTGTTTGGTGCATTGCCTCTGTTGATGTAAAGATGTGAGAAGCCTGCAGGAAAAAAAAGGGTCTAAGCTGCTGGTTTTGTTGTATGGGTCCCTGATGGCTTCCCATCTCCCTTTCTTTTGCCTCCTGGGTCTTCCTGTCCTTGCAGTATAGAATGGGCTGGTATAGACTGGAAAATCCAGTGATTGGGCCCTACTTTGGAGCATTGAATCAGGTCTGCAGGCAGCAGCCTCCTAAGCACATGTCTCCTGGCTTCTGGCTGGGCTCCATGCCCCACCTGCCCACATGTGCCTGCTGCCTGCGTCAGGCCCTGCTCTGGCGTTGAGGCTCTTAGAAACTTTGCACCTGCCACAGAAGCGGCTCCAGCTGGCCATGCATGACTCAGTAGCCTGCTCTGGTGGCTGAGGCAGGCTGGCTGTTCCTGACTCAGTGGGGTGCAGGGATGTCCTCTGGCACCCCTGAAAACCTCACAATCCACATCTGTTACTTGGGTCACAGCCGGGCATTAATTGGTCTCAGTAAAAGCACTTTGATTAGGCTCAGATGAAAGGGGCTCAGAGAGTTCAAACCAGACAGGGCTTTTGGGATGAAGAAGGGNTTTCTCTCCCCATTTTCCCCACTACGTCCAGCCTGTCAGGAAGTCCTGTTGGTTCTACCTTCAGACTCGATCCAAAGTCCAACCCTCCTCTCCTCCCCTGTGGTTATTCACCGGCTCCCAGCCACCATCGTCTCTTACCTGGGGTATAGCCGCAGGGTCCCAGCTGATGTCCCTGATTCCTCCCTTGCCCACCTGCACTTTATTCTCAACGGAGAAGCCAGAGTGATACCTAAATCATTTTTCTGCTCAAAACCTTGAAGTGGCTTCCCATTTTGCTCACAGCCAACGTCAAGTTCCTTACATTGGTCCTCTAGGCCTTCCATGTCACCTCAGGGACCTAACCTACTTCTCCCCCTGGCTCTTTCCACTAGAGCCACACTGGCTTCTAACTTCTTGAACTTTTACAAAGGGCCTTTGCTCTGGCTGTTCTCTTTGCCTAGAATAGCTTTCTTCCAGATTTCCCAATGGCTAGATCCTTATCTCTTTCAAGCCTTTGCTCAACTATTTTCCCCTCACTGAGGTCTTATTTAAGATTTCGGTGCCCTTTCTGCCTGCACTCCTTATTGCCCCCTTAGTCCCCCCTATTTTTCTTTAATCCATAGCATGTATCCCATTCTAACATGCTATATAATTTATTTGTTATGATTATTAATGAACTCCTCCTGCCTCCTGCACTGTAAGCTCCACAAGAGCAAAGGAGCTTCGTTTCACTCACGCTTACGAGGTCCAACAATTAAGTTTGCGAACTTGTTGCAATGATGTTGCTAACCTTTTTTGATATCAGAGGGATTGTTCATTATGAATTTGTACCAACTGGACAAACAGTTAATCAAGTTTACTATTTGGAAGTNCAGTGAAAAATGAGATTGTGGGTCCCCTTGTTCAAAAGGTATTAAGAATTTTAAAATTGGGCTGGCTGAGTGGCTCAGTTGATTAAGAGCGCGAGCTCTGAGCAACAGGTTTGCTGGTTCGATTCCCACATGGGCCAGTGAGTTGCCTGTATGGGATGGCAGGCTGCACTCCCCTCATCCCTCCCTGCAACTACGATTGAACACCACACCTTGAGCTGAGCAGCCGGGAGCTGCCGACGGGTGGCCGGATGGCTCCGTGTGCAACATGGTTGCTGGGTCGACTCCTGCATGGGATAGTGGACTATGCCTCCCCGCAACTAGACTGAAAGCGGTGACTGGACTTAGCGCTGAGCTTGCGCCCTCCACAACTAAGATTGAAGGACTTGACTTGGAGCTGATAGGTTATGGAAAAACACAATGTTCCCCTTCCCCAATTCCCCAACACCGTTCTCCTCCCCAATTCCCCAATTAAAAAAAAAAAGAATTTCAATACAGTGACAGCACAGCATGAAGCTAAGCATGTGGCCCTTCTAAGTATGCTTGTGACATACAGTTGCGTGTACTGGATGGGCGAGAGCGGGGAAGCATGCACAGAGGCAGCCTTTGAGGCTGATCCCTGAGCCACAAAAGAAGAGGGCCAGAGCGTGGAGATCTGTGTTCTCTGAAACACATCCACTGGAGGAGCCCACCCAGGAGGCTCCTGCAGTGCCTTTCCTTGGCAGGGCCAGCTCAGCCTCGTCCATTCCATAATCTGTGTCCCTCCTCCAGGGTTCAGAGAGAGCAGATTGAAAAGGAGCAGCTGGAGGAGGAGAAAAAGGCCACCGGGCGCTTACAGCATGCCAATGAGCTCCGGCGCCAGGTGCGTGAGAACCAGCAGAAGCAGGTGCAGGACCGGATCACCACCTTCAAGGAGGGCCGGCGCCTCAAGGAGGAGGCCCAGAAGCGGTGTGAGCGTATTCAAGACCTCAAGAAGAGAATGATTGAAGAGCTGAGGTGCGCTGTCATCTGCTACTCCCCAGCTTCTCTCTCCTTCCCCAAGGAGATGGCACGTCAGGCTAGAAAGCTGGGATTCAGGGGTTGAAGGGGTGTTGCCTTCTGAAAGGGGCTCCAGCAGAAAGCCCTGGGACTCGGGTCTTCTGGGCTTTTTGGGAACTACTTGGCAGAATGCTTGAGATTTGACAGAAATATGCTTGGGAATGGTTTGTAAGAGTGGGGTTGGGGGTGTAGGGCCCCAGGTTCTGTAATCCCACCCAGAGCTCACTTCCTGCCACCTCCTCTCTGGTCCCGCCTTCCCCTTACACTTACCCTGTGTTTCCCTGGCAGAGCCACCGGTCTTCCTGAGAAGTACTGCACTGAAGCTGAGCGCAAAGCTAACATCCTACCAGCCACTTCTGTGAACTGAGGGGCACCTCTGAGCCCCTCCGGATGTTTTCAGGGGAAGGTTCCAACGAGTCTCCATGACTGCTGCTAACCTAGACATTTTGTAGCTACAGATTAAACCTATTCTACTTCTCTTAAGGAACAGCCCAGCTTTCTTGTGTGGGGATGTGGCTACTATAGGGTACTGAACATGGAGCAGAACAGGTTACGAGAAACCCAAGTATGGGTGCTGTGGTGTTCAGGGGCCAGGAATGGAAGGATGCTCTCCACGATCATCCTAAGCCAGGTGGTCCCTTTGTTCTCGTGGCTCATGGCCTTTTTTGTTACCCTCTGGGATGCTGTCATCATGTCCGCTTTCAGCATAGTCTAGTCTCTGCCTCCATTACACACCCAGTTCTGAGGCATTTCAGGGCTGAGGCAAGGAGCCAGAGCTGCTCTCAGGGAGGAGCCTGGGTGAGGGCTGTGCTCGGCAGCGTAGGGACGGAGGCACTGGGCTGCCTGAGACAGAGCTCTTACTGAGCTCACACCTCTGACTCAGACCACATCTGTAAAGGGGGTGGTGTCTGAACCTGGGCTTGTCTCAGCCATCTCGTGCCAGAGCCCTTTTAACTCCAGGTAGTGCCACAACACAGACTCCTGCCTGTCCCTCAGCAGGGCATGTCTAGGGCCCCTCTCCTCACCCTGTTGGCCCAGTCCGCTCACCCAAACACAGCTGCCTCACTCACTCAAGTGTCTGACCTCTCCTCAGTCCACCTCACTCCAACCAGTGGGGCTCCCCAAAGCCATCATTATCTGTGTTAGCTTGCTTCACTTTCCCCCCAAATACTTGTTATTCATTCCTCCACTCATTGAAATACTTCTTGAGTACCTATCATGTACTAGGTACCTTCTAGCCACTCAATGAACACAGCAGACCTAGTTCCACCCTCACAGAAACTTTTCACTGTTCCAGTCTGCTTTTACTTTGGTCCCCCCCCCCCAGCTGCTCCCATCAAATTTCTTGTAGCTTTAGAATAGTCTCACCTTTTTTGGGGGGATGACCCTGATTATCAGGTTTCCATTGTGGGCCGAAGTGCTAACTTCTAGGGATGGAGTCATTCCCCATGTGTGTATACCTTGGAGGAACAGGGCTTCCACCCAGCTGCCATTGCTAATGGTGCCCCAGCCTCCAGCCCCCGTGTTTCATTTCTCAAATCGAGCCCAGTAGTGTCTCCGTCAATGGCTCCTACACTAGAGGAGGCAGAGGACAGCTGCTGGGCATGTCCTGGGTTTTTATAATACCAGGTTACAAGGGCCTCCGGCAAGAGTCCTCTTTTCATAGGATTTAGGGAGAGTGGGCAAGCTGCTGCTGCTGTTTCTTCTTCTTCTTCTTCTTCTTCTTCTTCTTCTTCTTCTTCTNCATTCATGGCACACACGAACACAGCCTGGTCACAACCGCCCACTATCAAACACAGGCATGCACTATCACTCAGAGCACTGACACAACCAGGCACATGCTGTCACACACAGGCATACAGCCGCAGACATGCACTGTCACACACAAGACACACAAACACCGCCAAGTCTTCCACTCTTTGGGCAGGGAAAGGGACCCCAGAGGCCATGGTGTCCATCCTCCTGCCTCCAGATAGGAGTACCTCACTTGCCCCAGACAGGTAGCTTTTAACAAGCAGCTTCTCCATCAGAGCATTTAACTGCTCTGTGTTACATGTTTGTATGGGAGTGCATGCACGCACGCACATGCACACACACACACACATCATGCAAATATAAAAGCAGACACCCTACCTGGTCATGGCATGAGTATCCTTACATTACATGTAAGCAGCCATAAATACTCATAAGCACACATGTACATGTGCATACATACTTACATGCATACACAATCATGCATACGTACATGCATACCTAACAGCTGTATATATATACAAACAGGATTCAGATGCAATCCTACACATCATAGAATATAGACATGCATAGACACAAGTGTGCACAGACATGCATATACTGCTCATGCACACACACACACACACACACACTTAGAGCAGCCCCTCCTCCCTGTGGAACCCCCACGGAGCCTGGGTTGCTGCTGGTAGAGAATGGTGGAGGGAGAGGCTAAAGCCAACTACCCAACCTCTGGCTCTGTTCCCCTCACCCTACCGGTCCTGTCCTTCCCCTAGCACTGCTGTCTGGTGTGCGCATCAATGGGGATGGCCAGGAGGTGCTGTACCTGGCGGAAGGTGACAATGTGAGACTGGGCTGCCCCTACATCCTGGACCCTGAAGACTATGGTCCCAGTGGGCTGGACATTGAGTGGATGCAGGTCAATTCAGACCCCTCACATCGGGAGAATGTGGTGAGTGCCGGGCACAGTGTTCCCCTTATCCTACTCCATGGCGTCTACCTGGTGGGCACCCAACACTCTGAGGGGAGAAGGAAGGCAGATAAGGAAACTGAGACCTTGAACTTCCCCCAAGTCCTCTCGTGGAATGGAGCCGTAGGGAATGAGAACTCTGCAATTACTCCAGCCTGACCTTATGCTTTCCAAAATACTTGGTCTTATCTGATCCCACCCATTTTGTAGGAGAGCAGTGGGTCAGGCATCACCATTCTCATTTTTCAGCTGAGAAAAGTGAGCCTCAGAGTTGAATGAATGGCCCAAGGCAGCTAATCCATATGACCCTCCTTGGCTCTGCTGTCTCACCGCCTGTTTTCTTCTCTTCTTCACAGTTCCTTAGTTACCAGGACAAGAGGATCAACCATGGAAACCTCCCCAATTTGCAGCAGAGGGTCCGCTTTGCAGCCTCAGATCCCAGCCAGTATGATGCTTCCATCAACCTCATGAACCTGCAGGTGGCAGACACAGCCACCTATGAGTGCCGGGTGAAGAAGACCACCATGGCCACCCGGAAGGTCGTTGTCACCGTCCAAGGTATGGCCAGTCTCCTCTGGGCTTCCCTTCCTCAGGCTTCAGAGCCAAGGGTGGCTTGGCCACTCTGAGCCTGGCTCTGTCTCTTGGCTGG